TCCCAGACCTCCTTCCACTCCTACCAAATTCCTGGTCCAGAGCTCTAATATAACAAACTGAAAATGGATCAACATCAAAACAGAGACAGAAGCAGAAGTTCAAAAGGTTTCATTCTCACTCTGTTGAGGAAACTCAAAATCTTAATCAATACAAACATTTTCCAGGAACAGAATGATTAAGATGATGTTTTATCTTTTTCTAAAGCTGTTAAAAATCAAAAGACCAATAAATCCAATTTAAGCCACAGAGAAAAAGCAGGAATAGCTTTCTAAATGTATGTCAGTCACTAAACCAGTCCAAAGTTGCCAAAACTCATCCTGTTTGCAGACAGATCAGCAGCATCCTTCCCAGGGGAGGTCTATTTAATCACTTCAGAAATTATTTCTTCCAGACAACAAAGAGCCATTAGATTACTTAATTAAAGGCCTGATTATCTCCAACCCAAAACAAGGGAAGGCAGAATCTAAAATAGAGAGATTTAAGCAGCTGCCCTGGTCCTCATTATGCTTTGATTTCAATCAAGCACACACACGTCAAGCAAAGGGCAATAAATTACAACCATGTGTTGGAAGAAATTATCTTCACCATATTGGAAGTGGAAAGCCAAGGCTCTAACTGAGTGGTGTAAGATATTAGGCTTCCATCTGGGAATAATAACCTACTGAACACAAACATGCCAGAGCATTAGCTCCAGGCACTGCTGGAGTTAAAGCTGGCAGCAGGAGATGGAAATGGAACAGTTGTTTTTTGGGAAAGTGACATGGATTTTGGTAAAACAGATAACCAAGAAACATGCTTGTTGTTTAACACAGAGGACAGAGAGGGAACTGAAACCTGGTGTAATTCCTCTTTAACCCAAATAGCTCCAGAAAGGAAAGGTGGGAAACTCCAGAGATACTAAAGGTAGTATCTACACTAAAACAGACACTGAAGGCCAGTTCAGCACTGGCTTACAGGAACTGAAGGTTCAGCAGAATTATTGTTCTCCATCTTTAATGACTTTATTACATGCAGTACTACAAGACTTCCCCAAACTCAATTTCACACTGCAGTCACTCAGTGGCCATTAAGCTTTTGGGGACAAAATTGAATATTAAGGTCTCTAGCAAGCAAATCTGAGTGGATTATTGCACACAAACTGTTAACAGACCCACACCAGGCTGTTTCCCTCAAAACACCCACAGCAGCAGGTGCCAGCCCCTTGGGAAATGGCAAACACAATGCAGTGACTCACTGAACGTAGGTGGAGACTTACCACACCTGATGAAAAGAGAAATCTAAAAAGGAAAGGTGTGTGGGCCAAGTGGGACTGACACAAGGAAGAACTGAAGCAATCTGAATTGCTGGAAGAGGCCTGAGATGAATTCTGTGAGATATCAGCACTTTCTGTGCTAAAGGGGAGCTGATCCAGGGGAGGCTGGGACCACAGGGGGAGAGCAGAGTGGGATGGAGATGTTCCCCAAAATGCTCATTTATCTACAGATGCTGGGATGAGCTGCACCAGGTGTGTTGGGAAGCTCAGGAGGGAAGTGAGCCCTGTGCAGAGGAACTGCTGAGAGACCTGGGGTTGTCCAGCCTGGAGAGAGGAGCTCTGGGGTGACCTGAGTGGGGCCCTCCAGTGCCTGAAGGAGCCAACAGGAGAGATGGAGAGAGACCTTGGACAAGAAGAAATGGCTTCCCACTGCCAGAGGGCAGGGCTGGATGGGATATTGGGAAGAAATTCCTCTCTGTGAGGGTGGGGAGACCCTGGCACAGGGTGCCCAGAGCAGCTGTGGCTGCCCCTGGATCCCTGGCAGTGCCCAAGGCCAGGCTGGACGGGGCTGGGAGCAGCCTGGGACAGCAGAAGCTGTCTAGCAAGTCTGGACACAAAGGCACTACTTGCTCTGAAAAACCCAGCAGAAACTCTCATTACAGGAATACAAAGCCTGAACCGCCCAGGGAATTCAGGCAGGCTGGATGTGGTGCTCCCTGTGAGTGCTGTGATTAATTCTGTATTCACTGTTACCTCTCTTTCATAAAACAGCAGCTGTGGCTACAGAGGCAGCTCAGGAACACTCTCTGCCCCACAGAGGGACAGAAGAGCCTCTTAAGGGACTGCTGGTGAGGAGCTGATGTGTCAGATTTGAGGCTTCTCCCTCAGCACCATTTTCATCCTCTTCATCTGCAGCCGCTGCACTTAAACTGGCATTTTTTAAGAATTTGTAATGTAAAGTATCAATTAGCCTGGTGTCCCCTGTGAAGGATCTGTGTGGGCAGGCAACCTCACCAGAGTGAGCAGAAACAATGAAAGCCCCTGCAGGTCAAGTCAAAATGTAGATTTTCTGCACACTGCCTACAGACTGATCCCTGTTCCTGGAGGGTGAACCTGGCATAGATCTCCCCATCTAACAGTAACCAGAATTTCCACAAAAAACACAGTCCTGAGGGCTGCCAGCATGTTTAGCTCTTTGATTAATCCATCAAGGAGCCTGAAGTATCTCCCCGTGCTGGAGAAGCCCTGCTGTGCCTGGCTCTGGAGCTGGGAAGGAGAACATTGGCCCAGGATGCCCTGAGCCCTCCCTGCCCAGCTGCAGGAGCTGCCAGGGCAGTGACACTGCCAGGACAGTGACAACTCCTGCCTGGCCCAGCCCCACTGCTGCTCTACAGACACTGCCAGGGACAGCTCCCAGCTCCAGCAGCCAGGCAGTGACAGCCCTGCCACTATGGAGTGACATCCCTGTCACTACGGGGTGACATCCCTTCCACCCATGGGGTGACATCCCTGCCACTGCCACCCCTTCCACCCATGGAGTGACATCCCTGCCACCCATGGAGTGACAGCCCTGCCACCATGGGGTGACATCCCTGCCACTGCCACCTCTCCACTACAGCCCTGCCAGGGCAGTGACATCCCTGCCACACATGGGGTGACATCCCTGCCACTGCCACCTCTCCACCACGGCCCTGCTCAGGGTGGATTTTGGTAAAACAGATAACCAAGATTACTCCAGTAGCTCCAGCAGCCATGGAGTGACATCCCTGCCACCCATGGGGTGACATCCCTGCCACACAGGGAGTGACATCCCTGCCACTGCCACCCCTGCCCAGGCAGTGACATCCCTGCCACCCATGGAGTGACATCCCTGCCACTGCCACCTCTCCACCAGGCAGCTCCAGCACTGCTCCATGAGGAATTGCTGCAGCCATTCCCAACCCAAGGTGTTGTTGGCAAGAGCAGCACTGAGGGAAGCTGCCATTTGTTGCCACCTCTGAATTTCCACCCTCTGATCTCCAAGGAAAAACTAAGCTTCTGCTGTCAAAACACAAAAATCCAATTGTCTTGTTCAGAAACCTGCAGAGCCCAACTGCAAGAACAAAAGCCTGTTTCCACATCACTGTTGGAGGTAAGGTACAAATCTTGATTTTAAGCACAACAAACCCTTCAGACACTGAGGTTAAGTTTCCTTAACTTTGCAAATTCTTTCCACAAATGCCACAATTTTTTTACACTGCTCAGCCAAACATTAATCCACCCCTGTCCTCTTTTCCTCCTCCACTTTTGGGATCACCACAGGCACTGAAGGGTTCTGTGCTGGCACCTGTGCCCATGGTCTGACCTGTCCTCCTGGCTGTGATCCCCGCTGGGTCCCCTGTGACCATTCCTGCCTGTAAAAGCTGCACTGACAGACAGAAAGATGGAATTTGGAACAATCACACCTTTCCCTTCCACACAATACATGGAGATTGTTATATAAAGGTATTGCTGTATCCCCACACTGAGCAGGGCTCAGCAGATTCACCTCAGTCACAAACCTGCCCTGTGCTTTCCTTTCAGCCAATTCAAGCTGTTCAAAGAAGTTTTTGTATCCAGCCATGACTTCATGGTCATCTGAGCAGAGAGGGATTTAAAAAGACAGCCTTGGTTCCATAAACCTCCCCATTTTTGTCTCAGGGTATTAAAAATCTTATTGGTCCTGCTCTGCTCTGCATCTGGGGAGTAACTGCAAATTTGGCTTTGCTGAATATGCAAAATTCCTTTCTTCCACTCAGTTCAGATACCAATAACAAGTGTTACTTACAAGAGAAGTTGGAGAGCTATGAAAATAATGCATGAAAAGTAAAGATTTGATACCTGTAACAGAAGTGTGATGTTTAACACGTTTGGACAGGCTGTATTTACACTGAGCTGCAGAACCCAGCAGGAAAAGTCCCTTTTAATGTGCTTCTGTCAGCACTGTAACATGATGAACTACATCTAAGGCTGTGTTTTATCTCCCTTTTCAGGCAACAAGAAGCAGCAATGAAGTTTGCTCACTTTTTTCATGGGCTTTAGGCACCTCCCTAAGAGTGTGTCCCAGTGAAGGACACACTGGCTCATTTTGCTTTCCAACACTCACTTGCTGTGCAGTTTTAGCATCACTTTCCACCCTAGCATTGCTCAGGAGACCACAGAGCCCACAGGTGAACCTGATCCCACCCCAAGGATGTGGAGGTAAGTGCAGTGCAGGACCAGCACAGCCCCAATTTACAGAAAATTGTTCAATTGGTAACTCACCCAGCCAGCTTCCTCTTGCTGCTTTAAAAAGCCACTGCCTAATCAACATTGACCCCACAGAGACTCTGTTAATTCCTTTGTTTCACACCTCTTTCACAGGACAGGGCCTGAACAAGCACCCTGCAGCAGGAGCACATCAATCCCTGCCCAGCTGCTGCCCTTCAGTGCCTGTCCTTTCGCTGGGACACGTGAGAGCTGCTGCTGCACACAGAGATTTTTTAAGAGTACAGCCTTGAGGGAATGGAAAATGCAGATGGTTTAAGCCAGAACTTAGAGATCAAAGAGAAGCCAGGTCATGCCAGGACAGAGACAGCATCAATCTGTTCAAGGGGGAAGGAGGTGGGAAAGCACCTCAGCACCAGCTGACAGATTTCAGCACGTCTGGCATCACAAACCCAGCGCTGCCTCCCCCCAGGGGACACAGACAGACAGACAGACAGGGCCTAGAGGGTAGGACTGACATACAAGTCTCTGTACTGGTCGAAGGCATTGTTGGCTTCCACCTCCAGCTTGCGCAGGCGAGCCGAGGGCATGGCACCGTCCTCCAGGGGAGGGTCGTACTTGTTGCTCCAGGGTGACCTGCAGGGACAGAGGAAGGGACAGTCACACCAGGGGACAGTGCTCACAGGGGTTCTTCAGGAGAGGGAAGAGACAAGAATGTTGACTCTGTGTTCAGAAGGCTTGATTTATTATTTTATTATTTATATATATATATATATATATATATATTACATTATAACTAACCAAAAAGAATAGAAGGAAAGGTTTCCTGTCAGAAGGCTGGCTAAGAATAGAATGGAAAAGAATGATAACAAAGGTTTGTGGCTCGGACAGAGAGTGAGAGCCAGCTCTGCTGTGGTCACTAAATCCAAACATCCACATGAGACCAATCACAGAGCCACCTGCTGCATTCCACAGCAGCAGATAATCAATGTTTACATTTTGTTTCTGAGGCCTCAGCTCCTCAAAAGGGAAAAAATCCTAAGAAAGGATTTTTAGTGAAAAGATGTCTGTGACACACCAGGGGACAGGAAAACAGACAGCAGTGTCTTGGGCTGGAAATGGGGCTGTGCATTCTATTCCTATCTGTGGGGCAGTTAAATTCTGTCCATTGGGCAGTTTTAATTTATCTCTCCCACAACCAATCCTCCCTGCAGGAGATCTCTGCTGTCCATGGCCACTGAGTGTCCCTGCAGGGCTGATCCAATTCCAGCATCCCACGGGGAGATGCTGCGCCCAGGGGAGGAGCCAAGCATTCCTACCTGGATCCAATCTGAGCTTTGGGACACCAGGGCAGCCTCTGCCCCCTGCATGGCCAGAGGAGCAGCTTTCTGCTGCCCTGCATGGGCAGAGGAGCAGCTTTCTGCTGCCCTGCATGGCCAGAGGGAGCCCAGGCCCATCTGCAGCAGCCCTGGAGCTGCAGAGGAAAACTCCCCCCTTGTGCAGGATCCCTGCTGCAGCAGAGCCACAGCTGGCACTGCAGGAGGGCTGAGCCCCCATGGCATGGGGCTGGGACACCCCCTGACACACAGGGGGTCAGATCAGATTCTGACTCTGACAATAGTTGGTTTTTTTTTCATTTGTACTATAACATTTGTATTTTAAGTTTTCCTAGTAAAGAGCTGTTATTCCTACTGCCATATCTTTCACCTGAGAGTCCCCTAATTTCAAAATTATAATAATTTGGAGGGAGAGGGTTTCCATTTTCCATTTCAGGGGAGGCTCCTGCCTTCCTCAGCAGACACCTGGCTTTTCAAATGAGACAAGGAGACAGAGCCTGCTCACAGCCCCGAGGTTGCCAGAGCTGCCAGGAGCATCTGCACTGCCAGGGATTGTTGGAGTGTCTGTGCAGGGCCAGGAGTCGGCCTGGATGGTCCTTGGGGGTCCCTTCCAGCTCAGGGTATTCCATGGCTCTGAAAGGTTTAATATTGGTGGGTCTGAGCTCATCCACAGATGCTGAACTTCCACAAAAACCCAAAATGTGCCCAGAGCAATCTACCTGCAAGAGCTGCACTCTCCACAGCCATTTCCAACACTGGCAAAAGGGGAACTGAGCCCTCAGAACTCACCTGGGGGCCATTCCCTGGCTTCAGGTTTTCTATATTAAAAAAATCAGGTTTCAATCTGTTCCTTCTCATACTTATATTATTCAACAACAAGGCTTCAGCTGTTGAACATTAAATATTAAAAACTGTTTTCATGCAAATACAAATCGATTGTGTAGTTTATTTGGGATCTCACAGCATTTGAGCCAAACACTCCTGGCTATGATTAAGGTCCACATTTTCCTCCACTACTCTGCTTTGAAATAAACTCTACCTTTAGCATAACATTAGGAAACCCTTTGAACAGTCTGAAGGATTTAACAGGGTTTGTAAAGCTGCAGGTTTTACTACAATTTCTGCAGGTGTGGAAGAGATTTTTGTGTTCTTAATGAAAGATTTGGTATTAAAAGATTAATGGAACCCTTTGCCCATCTGCTTGAGGCTTTTATAACTCCCATTCTAGAAACCTGCATTTTGCTTTTCATTTCCCCTTGGAGTAACCAACTTACATATATCACACTGCTGGCTCAGAGAAAAGCTCCTCTACCCTTTCTGTGCCCTTTCCCAGCCCCTGGCTGCAGCACCAGGTCCCAGTGCTGGCCACAGGGAAAGGTTTTTTCTTTTTGTCACTCATTTCTCAGAAAGGCAGCGGGGTCTGGCACCTGTGTGGTGCAAAGCACAAAGCCCAGCCTCTGCCTTGCTCCCTTCACTCCTCCCAACCACACCTGACAGGAAAGGGGACACCAGGAAAGTGGAGCTGTTGTGTCACATCCACCCAAGTGATGCTTTCAGGTCATGGCTCTGTCTCATGGCTGTGTCCAGTTCTGGGCACAGAAGGACACAAGAAGGACCTGGAGGGGCTGGAGCGTGTCCAGGGATGGGAATGGAGCTTTGGAAGGGGCTGGAGCCCCAGGAGAGGCTGAGGGAGCTGGGCAGGGGCTCAGCCTGGAGCAAAGGAGGCTCAGGGGGACCTTGTGGCTCTGCACAGCTCCTGCCAGGAGGGGACAGCCAGGAGTCAGGGTCTGCTCCCAGGGAACAGGGACAGGAGAGAGGGAACGGCCTCAGGCTGGGCCAGGGCAGCTCAGGGTGAACATCAGCAGGAATTTCTGCATGGAAAGGGGGCTCAGGCCTTGGAACTGCCCAGGGAGGGTTGGGGTGCCCATCCCTGGAGGTGACCAAGGAACACCTGGACATGGCACTCAGTGCTCTGAGCTGGGGACTGGTCAAGGTTGGACTCAGTGGTTTTGGAGAGTTTTCCAACCTCAGCAATTCTGGGGTTTTGTGATTTTAAACAGCTGCTTAAAATGTGGCTGCTCTGGAGAGGAGTCACCAGCCACAGGCTCCAGCTGGGTCAGGCTGGAAGGGCCCACGGGGCCTCATCTGGTGCCAGCCCAGAGCTCAGGACTGAGCCCAGATGGGTCTGGAACATCCCCAGGCAGGGACACTCAGAGCCTCTCTGGGCACTGTGTCCCACAGTGTGCCAAGTTCCTGCTCCTCATGCTCAGCTGGAGCTCCCTGCATCAGTCCCTGCCTGTTCCTCTGGTCCCAGGGAGCAGAGCCTGCCCAGAGCCCTCCCTGCAGACAGGGACACACAGGGATGAGCTGCTCCCTTCTCAGCTCTTTCTTCACTTCTAAAATCTCTGAAATCTGGGGCAGATTCACATAAACCCCCCCTGGTGCTCCCAGGTGGCTGAGCTGCTGCAGAGGGTGGGCAGGAGCTCCTGCAGAACCCCTGGGAGATGCTCCAAGTGCAAACACCAAACTCTCCCCAGGCTGCAGAATGGCACTGGGGGCAGCCAGGACAGACCCTGCCAGCCAGCAGCTTGTGCCATTTTCATCCCATTCCAGCTGGAGCCAGCAGCAGCTTTACCAACAAAAAAAAACCTCCTAACACAGCCCTGTATTTTTTGTTTTTGTGGAAATGCACTCACAACACATTTAAACACTTAACTGGAGGCTATTTGAAGGAAGACAGATGGACAAGCACTTAAATTTCAAAAGTCAGACCTCTAATTTCCCCAAAAGAGAATGGTTTGTGTTTCAGCTAACAGGTTTCAGTGTTGTTGGCCCCAAATTCCCCATAAGGATTCCATTTAACAGAGTGATCAAACACACTTCGAGTGGAAATGTACGGACAAAGTCAGGGACCTTGAAGTCTAATATTAAAAAAATAAAATTAATAAAAGCTCTGCCTTCACAATGTGGATTCCATGACTGCTTGATATCCTTCACAAACCTTTCTTATTCCAGGAGCACTCACAGAAGTACCTGTGAGACTCCCACAAGCAGGATTTAATAATATGAAGAAAATAAAAATTATCTATTTATGAAGATCCAAGGAGACTCCAAAATCCACCTTTTAGTCTGATCCACATTTGTCATGGAGCAAACCAAGTCTGTCTAAACATAAGGAAAGACTAAGCTGTGATGGGCTAAGCATTAGGATATTCACTTCCCACAGCAGCTTTTTTTCCAGGCAAATTGCAAAGCCACTGGGAAAAGCCAGCCCGATAAAACTGGAATCCCATGAGGAAGTCTGAGCACCCAGCCCCACCTCTCCTGCTGAAGGACAGCAAGGCTCAGCTGACCAGGGAGTGCTTGGAAATACCTGGATTAAAAATATTTCTTGCTAAAAGAAATGCAATTACCAATCTGTCCAATAGGAAGGGAAGGTGTTTAGCTGGGAGAGTGCAGGAATTGGGGATGCAGCACGTGCCAGGCAGGGAACAACATTCCCTGGGACTGCTAATAGAGCGTGTGGCTCTGGAAAATGGCTGTGGAAATATCAAAAGCTTTTAAAAGCCCAGTGAACTCCTCCTAGACCTTGGCCTAATTGATTAAATTAATGTAAGAGGCACTTCCCAGTAACAAGTGCAGACCTGATGAGGTGAAGCAGTGTCTGGACACAGGCACAGGATGGGATTAACATGCACAGGGCAGTGCTGCTGGAGTTTCAAAGGCTTCTGCTGTGTGCTGAAGGAAAGAATTTACTCCATGAATCAGAGCTGGGACCAATCAATTCCAGAAGGAAGAATCACTTCAATCCAGAATGCCTGAATCAAAAGCCTTAGGAGCAGGATTCTTCCCTGCCAGCAATTAACACATGGTGCCTGTTCTGGAGGAACAAATGGAAGAGCTTTTCTGAAACCTCATTACTTAATAAGTCCCGAAAATTTCAAAGTGATTTCAAAAAGCAAATTCCTCCTGCTTCCTTGCAGCTATTTAATACCTTCTGAGAAAGAGACGGAGCAAATTTCAGAGGCAAGAGTGACACTGACCTTAGAGGAAGGGCTGTCATGTGCCCTAATTAAACACAGGGGTCATTAGTGATTGCACAATGTCCCATTAGTGTCTAACCAGTGCCTTTCCAGTGTCCACATCAGCAGCCTGAGCAGGACGCAAAGGGGCTGCAAGAAACATCACAGCTTCAGGGAGAAACATCTCTTGAAAGGTCCACAAGAAATTCAGGATTTAATTCCCCCTCCTGCATGTGCCAGAGGGGCTGCAGCTGTGGGTGCATCTCATGGGGGGCATCAGCTCTGAACTCTGACTTTATTTACTAATTCAGAACTGATAACATGCAAGTAGCTGCTAATGTGGATCTAACCAGCTGGGGCACACAAAATTAATGCAAAATGCTTTTATAGAAGGCACCAGGCTCTTCTGTGGAAGGCTGGAATAGTTTCTAAATATGAGATTCATGCCCTAAAGAATGTGAGTGACACTCCACCTTGGGGTCCTGCTCACTTGCTGGCCTCCTGCAATAGGTTATATTTTAAACAACTCAATGGGATTTACACTCAGCCACAATCCAGAGGCACTGTCAAACTCTGCATCCACTCTCATTCTCCATCTCTTGTTTCCAGGACAAAATGTATCTCAGCATGTTCTCTGTGTAAATCATCCACACACACGTGCTTCACATTAGAGACGGACCTTCCCTGCAACTGAACCAATTCATCTCAAATCCTCTGCAAGCTCAGCTGCTTCTGCAGTGATGCTGAGCCAAAGAAAAAAGATTTGTTAAAAAATATTTTCTGAATCTCCACTTTGAAACACAATTCTTGAAACATTCTGGCCAGATGAATGTAAAACACTACATCAAATCTACACAGAGCAAAGTGAGATTCTTCCTGGAGATAATTCCAAGCTCTAAAATGTAAATTATGAAAGGAGGGACAAGTGGAAGCCTGAGAATCATCCCTAGAAGCAGCAGGATGGCTGAGCTGGTAATTCAGGGCAGGAGATGAGAGGGGTCCTTACCTGACAGCCCAGCACCCTTTGTTAAGGGGAAGAATAAAAGTGCTGCAGGAGGTTTCTGGCCTGTAAACTCATTATTCTTATATTAAATATCTGGAACTCTGCCAGTGTCACTACAGCCATTAAGGAAAGTCAGCAATGTGAGAAAGGGAAGGGATGATTTTAACATCAATGAAAAACATCATCCTAATGGCAAGGTAGAGGAAAACACATTAAAAGAGAGACTGTGCTCAATGTGGCAGCCAAAACACTGAAACCTGATTGTACCATTCCAGTACTGCAGTCCCTCCTGCTCCAAAATTAATTATAATTATACACAGCTCATAGGGTTCAAGTATTTCCATTGGTTTTGTCTCCAGTCCTCAGAATATAGCAGCTATTTTGGTAGATGGGGATTCCTTTTCTTTGGTAAAAACTTGGGCCCAGATTTTCAAACAGAACTAATGACACTGAGTCCCAAGTCAGTCAATTCCTTGTAAAATATGGAGCGAAAGAGCCTCTCCCAGCTGGCAAATCCACCCTGTTTTGTACAAGCTGAAGATGATTTTGTTTAAACCCACAGCTTGCATCATCTCTTTTCTGTCATTATCCATTCCAGAGATTTTATAACTTTGCAATGGTCTCATTTCCTACCAAGGCCATTTCTGCTAGAGAATTGACTGGTTTCAATCCAGAACACAGAAAACAAAGAGAAATCCATCAGTCATCCCCTTTAGCACGATAACAACAGCATATTTTGGGCTGTAAATCTTTAAATTAGCGATATTTTTTTGGCTGAAAAGAAGAGGGAGAAGGCCTGGAAGCCCTGCCCATGGATGCCATTCAGAGGGCAGCAGGCAGCCCCAGCTCTGGGTACTCACCTGTAGGAGTCCCCATCTCTGTTGTAGTCACACAATAGATAATCCTTCCCCACCACCTTGTCCCGGGCAATCTTCAAGGGCTGATCCACAGAGGAGAGGAGATCTTCACACAGGCTGGGGACCTGCAGGGGGGGACAAGCAAAGGGAGGGGAGAGAGGGCAGCACGTTAACGTTGGAAGGCACTGGCACCCCTGAGAACAGATTTTGTCATTTACAGCCCACATCTGTCCCAAAGCCAAAACTGTTCAAGAAATCATTTCACAACAAACCCCTGTGCTCCCACCTCCGGTAATTTCAGGTGTCATGACCACAGCACTGGTGTGGCCCTGCACACCTGAACACACACAGACACAGATGCACACACAGAGACACACACAGACACTGACACACACAGACACACACACAGAGACACACACACCCACATAGACACACACACAGACAGACACTGACACACACAGACACACACACAGACACACACACAGACACTGACATACACAGACACACACACACACAGCACACACAGACAGACACACACACACAGACACACGCACACACAGAGACAGACACACACACCAATTCACTCTGTGCCAGGGCAGCCAGGGCAGTGACTGTCCAGGGCTGGTGGATAAAGGTAAATATTTACAGAGCAGTGGGAATGAGGGAGCTGCTGAAGGAACCCACCGTCCCCAAGCTCATCTCCCATTTCTCAGAGCAGTTTCCAGTGGCCAAGCATGACCAGGCTGGATAAGGAGAATGAACATGTCTGTGTGTGTGTGCACATGTCAAATCCCACACACCTCCTGCATCCTGCACAGCCCCCCATGGATCCAGGAGCAGCTGCCCCCTGCCCATGGACAAAGACAAGCTCTGCTCCCAGTGTGGCACAGGGCCTGGCATGCCCTGCAGGGACATGGGGCTCCCTGTCCGGCACACACCTCAGGCCATGTGCACCCTGTGCCCAGCCCAGGGACCAGCACCAATCACTGCTGCCACCAAACAACCAGGGCAGGTGTGATTCCTGCAGGAACACAGCCCAGATCTCACTGCCAGGGAAATGGACTGGAGCAAAATGTCCCTTCCCAACAACACAACAGGACCACAGTGTGACCGTGTCACAGGGGTCTGAGGATGAGGGAAGAGATGAGGATCTGACTCCATGTTTCAGAAGGCTTGATTTATTATTTTATGATATATATTATATTAAATATAATATATAATACTAAAATACTAAATAATACTAAAATAATAGAAGAAAGGATTTCATCAGAAGGCTGGCTAAGAGTAGAAGAAGAAGGAATGATAACAAAGGTTTTGTGTCTCGGACAGAGAGTCTGAGCCAGCTGACTGTATTGGCCATTAATTAGAAACAACTTTATGAGATTAATCACAGATGCACCTGTTGCATTCCACAGCAGCAGATAACCATTGTTTACATTTTGTTCCTGAGGCCTCTCAACTTCTCAGGAGGAGAAATCCTAAGGAAAGGATTTTTCATAAAAGATGTCTGTGACACCACAGCACAACTGGTAAGTTCCTGAACAGATTGGTAACAATAAAACAACAATTTATTGCTAATAAAACAAGAAAGGAATAAGCAGTGTGGAATGTCCTCTACAGATCACTCTGCATCACAGAGATGAAAATCTGACTGAGAGACGAGCACAAAAGGCAATCAAGGGCAAAATTAATCATGGAGTGATGAATTCACAACTCATAAGAAATGAAAAGGGGAGGGAGGGAGGAATAAAGAAAACATGGAAATGTGCTTTCTTCTCTTCAAGCCACTGATTCAGTGAATGGATTAGCACCATTTCAAAGGAAAGAAGCCTGGAGGAGAAAAAACAAATTTGGGGTGCAACAGCCCCGAAATGATTTTAATGCACCAGACAGGACAGAGGAGATCAAACTGCCTGGAACAAAAACATTCCTAACCCCAAGTACAAGGCAGTAACACACAGAGGATGACAGTCAGAGTGAGCAGGGACATACAAAAACCAATGTGACTATGAAAAATATATTAAAAAAAAAATCCTAAATGGAAATGACAAAACAAACTGTGGCTGCCTCATCCCTGGAAGTGTCCAAGGCCAGGCTGGATCAACCTGGGACAGTGGAAGGTGTCCCTGCCCCTGGCAGGGGTGGCACTGGATGGACTTTAAGGTCCCTCCAACCCAAACCATTCCATGGCTCTAAGATGAGACCATCAAGTGATGCAACACCTGACCCACACACTCCTTAAACACACAAAAAATCAGAGGCAAACCAAGACATGGTTGGTAAAGTGCTGGAAAAGCTGAAATATTCATCTGAGTGTTTTATTTTGGTCTCTACAGACTGTAACATGGCCCTGAGTGAGAACTGCAGAGCCCTGGGCAGTTCAGGGTTTCACTCAGCTCGGGGCTCTCCTGGGAACTCCTCCTTTGGTACCAGGCCTGGCTGAGGAAGCCTCAAACCCACAATTCCTGGGTAAACACAAGTGGAAAGCAGCAGCAGCAGCTTTTAGGGAAACTCCTCCTTTTCCTGAGACCAGACACCCCAAATACTTCCTGGGCTGATCCAAATCAGCAGTGTGGGCACAAGGCAGGTGAAACGATCTTGCTGTGTCTGTGAGCACATCTGGTGGAATCCCCTCTGTCTCTTCCCTCTCCTCCCCGCTGACCATTCATTTTGGGCTGACAGCATCTCAATGTGCCTGCCTGGCCTCAGACAGAGCCCAGCCCTGCAGCTGATGCAGAGGGGACAGTGGAACACATCCCTTGGCCAGCAGCCCCCAGCACAGGGACATGCCCAGGAACACACACACACACTCCTAGCTCTGACCTCCTTTGGGATGAGCAGCAGTGATGGAAACACAACTGGGGGAAGTGGCTTTTCCCCAGCCTCTGCTTCCACTCTGGCTCTTTGGGCACAGCCCACAGCCCACGTGTGCTAAGGGAGCAGGAGAGCCTCACTGTGCACTCCTCCAACCCCAAATATCCACACAAAGCCTCTCACAAAAACCCCAACCCGAGGCTGAGCTGATTCCCCTGCAGAAAAGCTGAATTTACAGCCCTTATAAAAAACCCCTCACAGGTAACTTCTAGATTTAACTCTCTTTTAAGAACAGCACATGCCTGGTGTGGGGTTTCTGCAGGGCTCAGAGCACAATCCCATATTGACTAGAAGGAACTTGTAACCCATTGTTTTTTTAAGATGCAATCTACTGAACTGAACTTATCTGTGGGTGATTTGGTAACAAATATTTGTGAGCAGGGTCTCTTTCCCAATTTCTGAGGGCTGTGGTTATTCCTGCAGCCATAACAGTGACTGCATTATATCACACACTTACTGCAATATAATACTGCCCTGTATTATAACCTCCACTGTAAAACAAGCTGTATATCCCATCTCCTTGTACAGACACTCCACAGGACTTCAGGCAATCTATTCTTTCCCCTTCTCATCTCTCAGAATAAAACACAAGAAAACCCACTCATCTAGTTTGGAAATATTAGAAAATTTTGACAGTATTTATAAAAAGAACAGATATTCCAGCTGATGGAACTATTAGTGTAATTCTAATTATTGGAAAAGCACCCAAGTGTGGTACAGTTACCCCCAGAATGTTATTTTTATACCATTTATTACATCAACTGCACTTCCTAAGAATGAATTTACAATTTATGCACACTGCCTTTCCTCTTCTACTCTTGAAAATTGCTTACAAGGCAAAGGCAGTAATTTGAACAAGGTAATTTGCAGCTTTAAACACTTCAGGTTTATGTTCATGAGATTATGATTCCTACTGAATTTAGGTCCTTTGGATTCTTTTCCATGTCGAGTGTTGAATCTTACTAAAACATTTAAACTGAATCTTACCAAAACATTTAAACTGAATCTTACTAAAACATTTAAACTGAATCTTACTAAAACATTTAAATTACTGTTGTGCACATTCAGACTCTGGCAGGATTCAGTTTATTTTCTGATCCCAGCAAAGGCAACTCTGCTTGGAAGGCATCTGATGCTCTCAGTTTTCATCAACAGTGGATTTGTGTTGTTAATTTTTCTTGTTAAGGTTGTTCTGTGTTAACTGAAGAGCCAGAACTCACTCAGCACTTATCTATAATCATTACATGAGGATTTTTTACTTCAATTTAGAAACACAATTAAGCCACTGCTCAGGGCAAACTGAAACAGCAAAGCAGTGATCTGGTTCCATTCATCACTGCACTACAAATAAATGTCACTGTGCTGCAAACACTGCAGGCTGAGGTTCTTTTAGAGCAAAGCCTGGGCTCCCACCTTTGTTCTGACACAATCTCTTCCCACTGCAGGCACTGCAAGGTCACATGCAGAACACAATCTGCACCTTGTATCTCCAGCTAGAGGCCAGCATCGATGTCACCTGGCCCTAGGGCACCCTTGTTCCCCAGATCAGCTCTCAGCCATCTCCTCTGGCTACTCAGGGAGTGAGACCACCCTCAGTGTAAACTGGAAAGAAAAAAGGAGGAGATTGGGGCTCAGCTGGAAGAACAGCAGCATCATTCAGAATGAACAGGGCACAGTGTTTGGGGGATATTTTTTTTCCAAGGAGATACACAAAGGGTGTGTAGTGCAGAGGAAAGAAAACCTGGATGAGAAAGCGAGGGAAACGTGTCGAACAAGGATCCTGTTGTCCTGTGAAACCAAATTCTCCTGCAGAGCTGCCCAGGTATGTGGACAGTGCTTCAATTAAGGCAACTGCTCTGCTATCAAGACAAATAATCACTTGTGCCAAGTGGAAACCATACCCTTTTTGGAGTAGCTAAGCTCAGCCATTCCTTCTGAACTCACTTCATGGTTCAAGGAGCTCATTAGCAATTAAACAATTGCTTCTGCATTATTTTTTAAAGTATTTTTAAACAATATCTAAAAACAAATTCAAAGAGGGAAGAGGAGTAATACCTCAGTTCTCCATGTGTGACACACAGTCCCCATCCTTGCTTTGACCACAGTGAATTGCATCAAATTCTGCACTTCACACACTCAGGACAGCCAATTTTGGCTGTGCCCACTCCAGTTGAGCACACCCAGGGGCTGTTTTCTTCTGCAACCTTGACTGAAATGTACCACATCTAGCACTGAAACAGGAACATTCCTG